ATGAAACCTTTTTCTTTGTATATACACTTTGTATCCATGCATTTAGCTCGTAAGCTTTAGATATGAACACACCCTTTGATTAGAACAATAAGAGTGGATCCCGTGGAGTACCACAAACATGAGGGGTGCTAATACCTTCCCCTTGTGTAATCGACTCCCTTACTCGATCTCTCGGTCGTAAGATCGTGATTTACTCCCTTCTCAGGTTTTTCTTTGATGATTTTCGTTTTCCTTCTTGTGGGATAAATAAATAGTCGATGGCGACTTCATTGATTTTCTCCCAATGATTTTTGTCGGTTGTTTCACTCCCTCTCGTGTTTTCTTTTTTCGTTTGTTTGCTTCAGTATTGTCACCAAGAGGATGACCTACATCTTAAGGTTTCTTAAGGCTTGGTGACAAGAATTGGTTATGAGTTTGAGGGGGAGTAACTTAGTTGTTCTTGAAGATATAGGTCATCCTCTTACCCATGTACACCTTTTGGTGGTGTGTCTGTGTTGTCTCCCTGGTGTTGTGAATTCCTCTTCAGTATGCTTGTGGGAATAAGGTGTCTTAGCCAAATGCTTGTGTGGAAAAGGTGTTTCAGCCAAATGTTTTCCAAAGAGGTGTTGAAGCTGTGTTGCTGCTTTTGAGGGGGAGAATCTACTAAATCTCTGTTTTTATTCTGAGCAGTTTTCGAAGGGAATTTTGGCTCTGGATTGGACTATAAAGAGTTGTCAGACATGATGTCCTGACATGTTGAGAAATTGATTTTTTTTTCTCTCTTGGCTGTTATGTTGAGTATCTTTCACTAGTTGTTACTCTGATACTTATTGTACTTATTTCTGCTACTGTGACTCTGATTATTGTGTGTTTGCGTTATCTTTAAACCTGGGCTATTTTGTTGTTTATGTGTGGAAGAAGTACTAAGTTGTTTTAGCCAAAATAAGCCAAAGGGGGAGATTGTTAATTCTCTATTTTTGTGATTGGAATTATGTTTGGTAAAAATAACTTAGCATAAACATGTTGAAAGGAAATGTTCTAGCAACTGGAGAAACATGTTGAATAAGATGTCCTATGTAGGATCATTCGACATCCCGTCTGTGTACAACTGGATTGTTCGATTATTTTAGATTTTACAGATGCAGAATATTCTGGGAATATTATGATATTCTATGTGGCTCTCAGTTTAAGTATTAAGAGATTCAAGTTAAATTCTAGGAGTATTCTTAGTTTCTAATTATGGAGATAATTTAGGAAACTAATGATTGAAGTTCTATTTTTGTGCAGAAGTTTCTGCTGATTTGTAGCACCTGATTTGCTGCGCCTATGAAGCCTAATCCAGTATAGAAGATTGGTTTAAATATACTATCATAAACCTAGTTTTGTATGGAACTTACATTGTATTTTGTTAGGGTTTGTGTGCTATTTGTGAGCCTCTCTAATATCATCTTGATAAAAGAGTAGGATTATTATTTTGAGTTGTAAGTTTTATCAATCATTCCAAAGCTTTTAAGCAGTGAATGATTGTGTGTCTTTGAAGTGTGTCTTCTAAAGTAATTATTTTGAATTGTGTTATGGTCACGGTGTTGTGACTGTAAGGGATTTGAGAAGGGTCTCATACTTAGGTGAGTCTTAGGTAGAAGTTAAGCACGGGTATCGATTAAGTGACTAGATTGTAAACTAGGTGAAAGTTTGTTGTGGGTATACAAATTGATACTATCTAGTTGACTCCGTCCCTGAATTTTGTGTGTTCTTTAGTTTTCTGCATTGTTTTATTTGTTTTACCTTGCCATTATGTTAAATTCAAATTGCAGTGTTTCGACATCTCTTAGGACATCTGTGATCTGAATACCTGGATTTCAATTGTCCTAGATCGGATTGGTAAACTAACGATCAGAAATACCTACTTATTTGATATCAATTCATGTTAATATGGTCTAGATACATCTTCAAGCTTTAACTTCTTGAAGATCACATCTTCAAGACTTCAAGCTTTCACATAACTATTTCAAGATCGTTTGCTTGATTTATGATTGTCTAACACTTCCAAATTGATCTTGATACATTTGATTGATGAGAATTGTGACATTTTGTTCTTAATCAAATATCATCATCAGAACCTTTGGAAAAATTATTGTGAACAAAGCCTTTTGATTGTTGTCACCATTATTCGACAGTTGTCATCAACACAATCATTTGATAATTGTCATTATCAAAACCAATATCGTTTAAAAATATTACATGCACATTACATAGAATCACATTCCCCCAATATAATAGAGTAAACTTTGTATTTTTAGGAGTTTGTAAGGGTCTAGAACTCTAGATACAATTGTAAGAAGAATTAACATGCCACCCCTATTATACATGACACTCCCCAATAGTATAAAAAGACCAAATTACCCAGACCGAAATATTTTTCAGAAATTCAAAATTTTTGTGACCAACCGGAAATTTTCAAATCTCTGTGGCGGAAATTTTGAAATTTTTTTACCGAAAATTTCAAAATTTCTGGTGTAAACATTTTCCTTTTGTACCGAGAATTTCAAAATCCAGAGACTTTACAAGATACCAGAAAATTTGAAATTTCCGGTAGTTCAATTTTTTTTGAAAAATACCAGAAATTTAGAAATTTTCGGTAGTTCATATGTTCTATTTTTTGTCTTCTTATTTTACAATGAGGACTAGGGGCAAGGACGACACCGTTGCGAGCAGGCAGACTGATAGAGCGGAAGCTCAGGCCTGGGATGATGAGGCACAGGCTTCCGAACTACGGGATGGACGACGTCTTCCGACCGGTTCTCACCAGAAACAGATGGCTGAGTAGCAGGCTCAGTTCTGCACACCCCGTCGCCAGGGATTAAGAGTTTCCACTGCTGAGGAGCCAACTGTAGAGCATATTATGGAGCCAGCTACTACAGAGGTACATGCTTTTGTTCCTGTTGTGGAGCCAGATGTTGCAGAGGTACATGTTCCTATTCATGTTGTGGAGCCGGCAGTTGGAGAGGTTATTGAGGAGGTACACGTTCATGTTCATATTGTGGAGTTAGAGGTTGAGCAGGAGGTTATGGTTGAGCATGTTGACGATGTGTCCCCCTCTAATATAGACACCACGACTCATACGTCTACGGAACCATCAATACACATAGATAGAGCATTTTCTGGAGGACCTTCAGACAGAATTTGCTGACCATGTCACCCACAGGATATGGCATGGCGAGGTATATATTTGGTTTTCTTTAATTACATAATAATCATTTTTTTCTTACAATATGCTTACAAATTTGTAGTATAATATTTTGTTTTTGCTTTTTACAAGAGCGTCCGATGCTGAAGGTCACTTCTCATGGTTCGAAGTTGAAGAACTTCCCTGAGAGTCTGATGCCTGAGGAGGTCAGGAGTATCGTTAAAGATTTTCATCTGCTGGAGTTTGGTGAGTGCTCCTTGACCATGTTAGACGCCTCCCTGTTATCTGCTTCTATTGAGAGGTGGAACCCAGAGACATCATCATTTCATCTTCTATTTAGGGAGATGAATGCCACATTAGATGATGTCGAACAATTTTTTCACATTCTGGTTGCTGGTACATTCTTCACACCAGTAGTTATTAACCATACAACGACAATGCGCATGGTTGTGGATAATTTGGAGGTGTCTAAGGCATACATGTTAAAGGAGTTTGGTGAAATCCGGGGATTTCACCTTCGGATATCTTGGATGATGAAGTTGTATGGGGAAGCAAGCCCATCCTGGAGATTTGATGGAGTACAAGAGAAGGCTAGATGCACTAATATTAGAAGATATCATATGGACACCATATACATCTCATCGCCCTCATCGTCCATTTGAGGTGTCTACTTTGTATTCAGGACATATTAGATGGAAGAACCATGTTGCTATACACTTTCCTGAGAGATGTCTACGCCAATATGGTTATGTGCAGGGCATCCCTTATCCAGTTCCAAAGACTCTAGCCGGTGGCATTGATAGATGGTTTCAGAGTCACATCATCAGCTCCCCCCATGAGATCATGGATTTAGCCGTTGAGATTTAGCATCCTAGGTAGTGCGAGGATGGATGCCTGGAGTGGTTTCATAGTATGTCACACCCTCGAGACGTTTCAGCATCTTCGGATCTCCACATCCAACTCGATCGGACCTTTAGTTATCCTACAACGAAATGATTTCCACATGGCCTTCACATCTGCACCATTCTTCAATTCAATTAGGTTGTATTTCACCCTTCCATTTGTATCAATCCAATCCTCTTGAAACTCGACCTTTGTCACCCTTCTACTATCGTAATCAGGCAACAAACTATTCAACGTTTCTTTCAAGGTGGCAAGGGATTTAGAGCCATCTAGAATTTTGAATTCAATAACAGGGTTGCATCCGTTTTAATACACTTCTGCATTAATCAGATATTCAGGGAGAGACATTTTTTAGATGTCTTACCCTATAACATGAAACCTCTATTTATACAAATGGTGATGCATTCTAGACCACACAAATGTGTCGGTGCAATCGGAATCCTCCAAATATGTCGGTAAAATCTCGACCGTTGAAAAACTTGAATACATAATCTACCGAAAATTTCAGTATAACTCAAATTTCTGGTACTGCCACGTAAATTTGAAATTTCTGATTTATCGGAAATTTCAAATGCACTACCAAAAATTTACTCTTACCGGAAATTTGGTAAGGGTGTACCAAAAATTTGTTCTATATCGAAAATTTCATCCCTTCTACCGAAAATTTCGTCCAAAAATTTGTATTTCATCAAATACAAAACTAGAATAAATAAAATAGAAGGATGATATATTTAATTTAGGGGTGATATGTTAATTTCTCTGATGCTAAGGATACACGTTAAATACTTGATGACAAAGTACAAGCATATTACAAATGGGCCTCCAATGTAATAGCGGTGGTCCATAATATAAGGGTTAATAAACTTGTTGTATTGTAGAAAAACTTCCAGTTTCCGCTATTACCAAAAAGAGAGCGCAACAAAGGAAAAGCATGAATGCCCCTGATCGTTACGAGCGTTTCGTTGTTCCTGAAGGAACCAAAAAGTATCTCTTCATCTTCTTCTTCTATTAAATGATCTAAAATCATTCCCTTTGTCTTATTATTATCATCAATTTTTGTAATTGAATTTGAATTAATGGAAAAGGGTATGTTACGAGAGAGACACGAAGATCATAAATGCAGCTTCATTCACAGTTGAAAGAGAAGATCATACAATCGGCAACAATCTCCGCATGTATCTTTTCTATTCTCTCTTTCTCTCTCATTTCAATTTTCTCTCTCATCAATCAGCTTTTGGTATTTGTTATGTTTCAGGCAGCTTCATAAAGACCCTAATGTCTTGTTTTCTGGTTACAACCTTCCTCATCCTCTTCACTACAAAACTACTACCCGGGTTCGTTCCTCAGCCATGTTTTTGAGAAACAATTTAAGTTCAACTTTTTAACATAAGTGCTTTTCTGAATAAGCTATTTTTATACAATTTGCTATCTAACATGTTTCCATACGCTATACCAAACTGTCTAAGAAGAGCTTATGCCAGTAGAGATTGTCGAATAAACCAATTTTAACTCGCCCTATCGAGTCCTTAGACGATACAACAAAAACATTATACAAATATGCTTTTGTTGTTACTAATGCAGATACACACAACTAGTCAGTCTTCACCAACGCAAGCATATAACCAGTCTATCAATGATCTAGACAAGGAACTCGATCACTTGAAGAGCGGCTTCGAGGTAGAAAGCAATTCTTTTTTGTTGTCCTTTGTGCAATGAGGTATCTTAGTAGTGTATTTTTTGTGAAGACATTAAGAAAAATGTGCATGTCAAAATAAGAACATCTATAATCTATGTAGGGGTTTCCTTCTTGAAGTGATTTTTTCAAACCGATGAATTTCTGAAAGATGATTGTAATACAGGAAAAGTGCTTTATGGATTCTATTAAGGATTCTTTTGTTTTTCTGAGAGTATTATTTGTAACAGATTCCAAATTTTAATTGCAGGCGGAGTTGTTGAAGTTCTCAAAGGATTATTGATTTACAGAACAGAGAATTTGTGTGCAGTGTAGTTGAAACCATTGTAGATATTGAGGCAGAAGATCGCTCCTGCTATATATGCTCTTGTTGAGCTGAGGAGTTTTTTCAATTGTTCACAATTTCAAAGTGCGACAATGAGTGGTTTCTCATTGGGTAACGAGTTCACAATTAACCTGAAGATCTTTTATTTCTCAATCTTGTTTTGTCATCAAATATCATATCACTCATATAATGAAACTTTGGAATAAACTTACAACCAAGGTTATCAAACTCGTGCATCCTCAGACTCGTAAAGGGTCCGTAGACTCGACTCGTAAATTCGTATGAATCTATGAAAAATTAAAAATAATTTTCAAAAATCTATAAGTGATACATATATGGAGTCTGTACACTCGACTTGCATACTCAACTCGCAAATTCGTACGAGTTTATAGATATTAAAAAATAACTTTCAAAAATCTATAAGTGACATATATGAATCAATTTTATATTTTTAAACTTGTAAATACTTCATAGATGATGCAAACTTGAAAAACCTTCTTCATCATTAACCAATGTCAGATTGCTTGAATTTACACTTCCACCTAATTCAACATTACCACCACCACCACTGCACAACATTAGTAAGAACAACATCAGTTTCTACAATATTATTAACAATAACATCATCTTGCTCAACATTAATTTCAGTTTGTATATTTTTTTCATTAGGATCTTCAGTTATCCATTCATCATCTGAATGAATATCTTCAAAAGAAAGAACAATACTTTTTGCTTTTGTTTTTCTACTTTTCAACTTCAAATTGCACATGACATAAACCAAATTATTTATCTTTTTTACGCAACATATTTCTTCTCTTTGAATGAACTTGTAAAGTAAATAATAATTCAACTCAATGTTTATAAAAAATAAAAACCAAGTCTATAAACAAACAAATAATAATTCATTACCATTTCAAAGAAACTCCAATTTTGTTCACAACCAGAAGAGCTACAAGTTAAGTTAAGCTTTGAACACAAATTACAAACCTCTTTAATTGTGGAGTCATATCTCCATAGAAATCTCGTACAAGAAACTAGGAGATAGACTTTCTATTTCCCGTACAAGCAAAACAAAATAAGGGTTTTTTTTAAAAATAAAATAAAATCTTTTGGGGAATTTGGTGTGAGTGAAATTTCACCATTAGATATTTTGCATGATGTCAAAACTAGGAAAACTTAACATTTATGTATGTTGGACGGTATATCTATGTCATGTGGCACTCTTTTGCATTAGAGGTCTTAGGAATCATTTAAAACAACTTTAAAATTGGTCCCAATCATGAAAAGTCAGTTTCTGCACAAAATCAGCATTTATGTGTCGACCTGAAATTTTTATTTGTCGTCACATGAAATCAGCATTTCTACAATTTCTTAAAAACTTCAGTATGTGTCGACACATACGATTTTTAGGTCGACACATGTACTGCATTATTAAAGCTTTCATCATTTCTGCTTTAAAACACAGGCACATGTGTCGACACATACGATTTTCAGGTCGACGCATGTACTGCATTTTTAAAGCATGTAGCTATTGTTTTGCATGTGTCGACACATAACATTTTCACGTCGACACATATTGTTTTGTGGGTCATTTTTTCATTCTGAAACTTCAATCTTTTACTTAAAAAGAGCCCAACTATAAATATATCATTCATGCATCATTCCAACTTGGTGATACCATAAAATTAACCTACATTTGTTCTACATCTTCAACCTTCAACCTATGCATACGCACTGACATTACATTATAACGATGTTTCGTTGGGGTTCCATCTAGACGAGGTTTGATAACGTCCAATTAGGTTCTTGTGTAGCCGAGAATATTAGGTTGAGAATTGTAGGGCTCTTCATCCGGAAAAACCACATGTTTATCCTCTAAGATCATTGGTTGATTTGAGAGTTTTGTGCAAGACGTTCAAGAGGTAGTTGCGGGCAAGTGAAGTCCTTTGGAGATAAAGAACGCAAGAGATCCTTTGGAGATAAAGAACACAAAGGAAGTAGCGAGAGAACGTCAGATTACGATTGAAGTCTTGTGGTTGTAATAGGTACAATTGATGGTACGCGAAAGCTTTTGAGATAAAGTATGCAAAAGAGTAGCAAGATCCGGATAATCAATTGGTAGCTATTATGTCTTGGTCTTGTTGAAGATCAAAGGAAGAGAAGGGGTTGAATCAACATCAAACATTTATGGTTTGTAGGGTTGCTCTTGAACCCTTCTCTTGTATTCATAATTTTGCAAAGTAAGAAAATATCTTAATTCCATATTGAAATTGGGCACAAACTTATCCACATGCGAGAACGAAAGTGGGAAACTGTGTAGATAAATTTGTGTGTCTCTTTTCTTTTATTGCTTTACTTGATTTAATTTTCATAGACCAAGTTGTCAAATAGCATTGAGTAATCTATCGATGTTTAGGAATTTTACGAGATTGTTTTTGTTTTGAATTGTGTGTTGAGTTGTTTATAATCACTTTTGGTTATAATTTCTTTTTCATATTAATATAACACAAAGAAAAATTCTGAAACTTTGATTGCACACCAAGTGTTTGACAAATTGTTTAGCTTGTTTAACTCAATGGAAAATTACAATATTCCATCTCTTACTTTCATATTACTCTCTATATGCAATTTATTGAATGTGTTGTTTGATCGATCGATTCATATATAATTTCTCTTTGATTATTAAAGTTAAATTGCTTTGTTGATTAGCTTATAATCACTTTTATTGTAAGTGTTTTTGCATATCAATAAATCTAAAAGAAAATTTTAGAAAATTGATTGCGCGGGACATGTTCGATAAAGTGTCAAGTTATGTTTTTAATACGATTTCATTGGAAATAAGAATTGTAACACCCCAATTCTACCCCAAGCAATTAGCTGAAAATCAGAGTATAAAAATTTCCAATATAATCAGGATGTCACATATTTAACGAAGACACATAAAACTGCCATGCTTTTAGAATAGATATATATCACTTAAAGAAGCGGAAAGAATACAACTCATGAATACAATATTCATAACATAAACCAAACTTTGATTAGTCACGCAGCGGATTCAAAATAGTTCTCTAAATAAGATATAGTATCTTTTGAATCATAAAACATCATTAACACCATAACTCCTCAAATAACAACATAAGATTCAATAAATAAACAACAAAATAAGACAAGCATTCATTTCCCCCCGAGTGCTATGTATCAGAGAAATGATACCAAACTCGGACTAATAATGCTATCGGCTACTCCTCTTGGTTACATGCACGTTACCAACAAAGGACAATATTCAAACAGAAGGGGTAAGATATCGAACACTATAATAGAATGTATGATAAATAATATATCGGGAATTAGTTCATATAAAATCACCAGTTCATACAACATCAACATAAAGCAACATCATTCACCAACACTTCAATTCAACTTATAACATCACCGTGCATAGACAGCACTTCAAATAAGCAACAAATCAACAACTCCAAATGCGACTCAACTGTGCAAATGCACGTGGTACTGTGATGCGGTGGCAGAACTGACTTGGTTGTTTTGCGTTTTATCACAAATGTTGCAGTTAGCAAGAGTCGCCACCGACTTTTCTTTTATCCAAAAGGAAAGGCTGAAAAGAACAGGAAAGACCTTTGAGATTGTTTCTTGAGTTCGGGGAGTAGATTATAAAAAGAGAAGGTATTAACACCCTTTTCATCCATGGTTTTCCATGGGCTCTTAGTTACTTGCTAGATCACTTGCTTTTGTTTGAAAATGTGCTTTGTGTGGTTTTTGAAAGTATTTTGAAAAGGCGCAATCGTTTAGGCAAACTTTGTAATGATTCTCGTTCGTAAGAATGTATACAAAGTGTTGAGCTTTTGAAAATGTTTTCAATTTTGAAAGATATTTTGAAAGTGTTGGTGTTTATTTTGAAAATAGCAAGGATGTTTTGGTTTTGAAATTGAGAAAGCAACTAGGAAAAATCTACCTACTCAAAAGTCTTAGTTCATTTCTTCCTTTCCTTTGATATTGCTATCTTACCATTGATTTGGTAAGAAGCCCTATCTTTGGATGTAAAGGGACAGGCGTGAGTCAACGTATAACCATGATTATCAATGCTGCAAGGTATCTTAGCATCTTTCTTTAGAGACTAAGATTATTTTGAAAAGGCAACATAGATAGCGTCATCGAGGGACTATGATCTTGTATTTTTGTTCGTTTTTGCTAAGATACCTCACATGCATAATATGGCCATTTTATAAGACAACCAAGTGGATTTTACCCTAGGGGTGCTTCTGTGCAAATATATTGATTTTCATGCTTTGTTTAGTCTTTGATTAGGGTTTACTATTTGTTGATTTTATCTTCTCATACAAACCCTAATTATTAGCATTTATATAAAGCGATAAATTACGAAAAGTAAAATTACTACGCTATTACATCATTAGGGGAGGGGTGTACAAATTTATAAATGGGGATTGCAAGAAAATTAAACCTAATTATCTATTACAACCATATTGAATATTGTACACAATTGAAAATAAAATGCAAGAATATAAATGGAAAAAGAAATTATTTTTGCTGTTTTTTATGAAAGGGATTTTGTCTTGACCTAATTAAAAAAATGATTAATTAAAATTAAATAAAATTAACTTAAACTAATTAAGAAAAAAGATTAATTTGAAAAGGATTTTTAGGGTTTTTTTATGAAAAAGGTTTTAAAATAATGAAAATAAAATGAAGACTAATTAATTAAAATAACCTAAATTTTAAATTAATTTTAACTAAGAAAATAAAATAATATACTAATTTAAGCTAAGTCTAAAAATTAATTATTTAAAAAAGAAATTAATTTGTTTAAGAAAATGCTTTTTTAGTCTTTTTGTTTTATGAAGAAAATAAAATACATAAGTATAAATAATAAATAAAAATAAATTTGGATTTTTTATGATTTATCAAAATAATAATAGTAATAA